AAAAAAATTAGACAGGTGTGGTGACACGCACCTATGGTTCCAGCTACTTAGAAGGCTGAGGCGCAAGGATCACTTGCCTGAGCCCAGCAGGTTGAGCCTACGGTGGCCGTGAGCGTGCCACTGCACTCTAGCCTGGATGACAGAGTGAGACTCCGACTCAAAAAAAAAAAAAAATTAAACAAATAAAAATAAAAAATAACACATAAGTAGTATGGCACCTGAGATGCTCAACAAATGTTAAGTTTTCTTCCTCCTTATTGAGCATCAACAACCTGAAAATTCTTAAAACACCAAGACCACACCATCGCAGCTGGCTGCCATGAACGCAGGCCACCTTCCTGACTGACCTCCTTCACTTGCTTCTGGTGAGCTCATCCTCACCACCATTCAGTCCTTTCCAAGTGAGCCACCCGTGGCACACAAACCCCCAGGAGCCCCCAGTTCCTCCATGTTCTCAAGGCACCTGGCTTGGATTTCATCCACATGCCAGCCACAACAGTATGTCCAGTACGGGCTCAGGGCCACAAGGTGCATCTGACTTGAACTCGGACTATGGTGCTGCTTCGGTGTTCCTTTGTTTATGTTTTGATTCCCAGAAGGTCCCCAAGGATAGTCCCACCATGTCTCCCCCCTCTCCCAGGCCCCAGTGCCACCTTCTCCTGCCTTCACTTGCGGCATGACGTGGCTTTCATGCGTGCACCCCACAGCCTCTCGTCCTGCCCTCGGTCTCCCTGAAGCTGACCCCCCTGACATCACGTTCCGCACGCCTTCCATCTCACGTGCCCTGCGGGATGCTTCCCCCTCCTTCTACCCCCCATCCCTCACCAGCATCAGCATCTCCGAAGGTCCTCCTCTAGAACAGCATCCACACCCTGGCGCTGGCCACAGGCTTAAACAAGGTAATTCAGGGAAAGCAAGCGGTAGGGCGCTGGCACATCACGGGTAGGAGATACTGGTGGAAGTGACTGTTCCACTGTGATTATTTTAAAGTGTCCACTTCACCTTTTGCCCCTCATTGTCTGGTCTCCCTCCTTCTTCCAGCACCAATGCTTTTCTCCCCTCACTTCCCCTAAAACACGTACAATCACACTTTTGCCCCACGACATTTCTCTTAAAGGCCTGCAATGAATTTCTCCACGGTCAGCGGCCCATTATGGGCCTCACTGTCCTTGATCTCTCGGCCCGTCTGACCTCTCCTGACACCGTGCCACACTACTTCGC